ATGAGTGATCGCAATCCCCACACATCACAGATTCTTAAGCCGAAAGGCTCTATCCACTATACGCAATGCCTAATATACTACATGTGCAAATAATTGACATACTTCCCTATTACTTTGCTTTAATGATCCTCAAAAGACGTGTTATTTCTTCATTAAACAAGAGGTTTTTTTCAGGCGGTAAAAGTGGCTGACTATATCTTTTGGTAGCAACAAAATTTTAGTACAAATAATAGTGTCTCCCGGCGCAAGGTACGGAAAAAAATTACAATACAACTATTAAACACACAAGTCATTTTTACTTCCCTCATCCGATAACAGAAGAGAGTAGTTCTGTTCCTATTAAGAGTGGTTTTGTTAACAAAACTTCAGCTGTCGACTTAAAATGCGAGTTTTTTTTTACACGCCCGTATTATAGTATTGTTTACTGTACTAGTACTTACGCTTTAAAAGAGAAGATGTTATAAGCGACGCGCAAAATAAAGAGAAACGGTTGGGTGTAAGTTCTATTAAACTGTCATATGACAAAGTCGCGGAAAAGGTTTGTTTGTCTGTATGTTTAAGTTTACATACGTTATATTACGCCTTGGAGAAGTGGTTGTTGTATGGTGGTAACTTGCTGTTTGCGTGTCGATGTGTGTAATTTAGAGCGCGGCAAATTGTTTTTCGTTCGATAACTTGTTCGCGTAATATGACGTGATGACAGAAGAAGAGAAGTGTGCTTGCTTGCGTGTTAGATGGCAAGTGATATAATCAATCACTTGTCACACGCTACCATATAAGTATCTACGTAATAAGGGGCGTGATTCTGCAATTGTCACGAAATAAAACAATAACATCGGTAAAACATTTTAGAATAAAAGGTTTTTACTGGTTAGGCCATACATTAAATTGATCATTCTCATAACAACAATAAACGTGACATATTGTCAGAACTATATAATAGTAGTGACACCATAACTCATAAATTTGTAGCTTAATAAATCTCTCTAAGGCAAATCAGGATACGGTAGAATACTTTGACCGAGATAATACAAGCTTACCAAAATCTCGTACAGAGTTTTTTATATCGTGAGATTCTCGCCTAAATAATTAGACTGCTGTACTTAATTGTCCCATCATGTTGCATTCGTACAATTATTATTCTATGACAAATTTATTAAACTATACATGTATATGGTCACCAGCTACAATACCAATTAGCTTTGTTCATAGACTTTTCGCTGATACGCAGCACAGCTATATTAGATTCAGTGACGACAAATGTAAAATTTTAAATAAAATATACAAAAATAATTTATATACCACATTCGTAAAATTATATTCGTTATCTGTGTTCAATCACACAAGAATTAAGTAGTGAATTAATATAAGTTCGGTGCTATAGTTAACAGCCATAGTAATAGGTTATTTTTGCTTTAATGATTTCGGGCGTAACTGAGAAGTTTTCATTCCGCAAGGTTTGCGATTAGAGTTTACGTAAATTGCTCGAAGAAAACATTTAAGTATAAAAGTTATTCGTCAGGTGTTTTATGCTGTTTGTTTTGTTTTTGAAAGCGATAACTAGCGTAGCATTTTGACTGCGTCGACTGGGGGATGACAATAATGATAATAATACTGTATTAGACGCAGTATTTATTTATTATTGCTATATGGTAGTTACAGGATTTATATTATTAACTAGGCACGTTTTTAAATTAGACAAAACCGTCTCGTTTTTGAGTTAAAAAGCACCACTGTTGCTCTATATGTTAGAATTACAAAAACTTTACATTAATATTAATATCTATGTCAACCACAATTTATACTGTCTTAGACAGAATTATAGAAAGTTGCCTATCGTTATTTATAGTATATATAAGAGTTCCGATGACCATTTGTTATAGGCATCCCATAACAGGAAGGTGGGTTCATAGGGGATCTGTCAATTAAATTGAAATAAGCATTAGCAAATTTATATTGTTTTGCCCCTTTTCTTTATTGTAATCATAGTAGGGACCCTATCATATCTACCTTTACAAGGCTTGTCAAAACATACCGGCTTATTTACTTGTAATTAAGTTTGATATCTATAGAATTATCTTTATTACTTCTGTCAGTTTTTTGATTTTTGTGTTCTTCTATTTGTCTTCTCAAGTTTTTCAACTTTCTCTGTTATTAAATGAATCACTGTTTAAAATTTTATCCAACCACTTCAACAATATCACAAAAAGAAGTCTGACAATATTAGCTGCATGGCGTACTGCCAAAAACTCTTACGTATTATAAGGGCATAACTCATCGTGAATTGAAACTTTCGAAGTTTACCTCCGTAGGGATATTCCGACGACTAGTATTATTAATGCGGAATCGCTACAATGTAAAGAGTTCCATTAACGCTTAAAAAAACCAAAGTCTTTTATGGCATATTAGTATACGTATAAGTATAAATATTAATGTATACCCATAGTCACATGCCCGCACTTTTTTGGTAGAGATAAGCACAAGTTTGCGCCACTGGCGGGCCGTCCAATGAGAGTCAGAGCTGATGAAAAAAATTCAGGACTGCCGATAAACGTGCGCCATTACTAATTTGATACCCGTCTCTTCTCCCGTTCCATACAATCAGCAACATATGCCTTTATAATCCCACTCCCTCTCACTCCGACATCATCATACAAATATTTCTTAACCGTCTTCTACCTTACGCTCACTAGACTTACACAGATATACAAAAAATATACTCCTTCACTAAAATCGCAATAGATGCTTATGGGCTTTTATTTTTTTAATTTACAATGTAAAAGATAAAACCAGCTTAAACTGGGCTTTAGCGAGCACCTCGTTGTGAATAAAAGTTCTCGCGATAGTTACTAATTTGATTCCGAATATGTGTGACTCTTTATTTGTCAAGTGCGGGGTAAGTTTATAACAGACGTAATGAATGTCAAGTGACCATTGTTATACAGTATGAGCGGGGATTGTATTGTTAGATAAACTCGTCATTTATTTCCCATTCAATCTATCACTATTATCATCGTATTTAAAAATCTATGCCTTTCTTTCGTCTCCCCTTTTATCTCCAAATTTTTTGTCACGAACTCTTTAATCTCCAGCTATTTTGTCACAAACTCTTTTATCTCCAATTCTTTCGTCTCTAAGCTATTTGTTTCTATCCTGCCGAACATGTCTTTTAAAGCAGCAGGCAAACGTTTCCTATCGACAGTAAAAGAAACAAACGGCGGTGAGTATGAGTACTGTACTGTGTCGTTTCTTGTATTGCCGAATATAGACAAGCAATATTACATACATTTCAGGCACCGAGATAGACTTCACTGGCGTGGGAAAGGCTATTGGAATGGGGGCACTTACCTTCATGGCGGTGGCAAAATGTCAAACAAGAACTTTATGAGAATATTGCTGGCGTCGAGAAAAGACTAGATGGGAGGATTGATAATATCGAAAAAAGGCTTGATGGGGGAACAAGTTAGACGCAAAAACTCGATAAATTAGGAGATTTCATGATCGCACAGGCCTTAAGGTAATAACAGCTGGTTTATTAACATTATTATAAAGCCGTAGAGATCTGTGCTAGACATTTTTAAAAAATCAACAGCAAAATCGGAACCGTTTATATATATATATATACACTTATACTTACACTATATATTATACTTAAACATACACTATCTATTATACAGAAGAGAAAAAGAAGAATAATTGTAGCGACAAGCCTTGCCAGAAACTTTACCCATTATTTAGGTATACAGTCATCCCTCATTTATATCCCCACTTTGGGACGGAGACTTTTTTATTGACCTATAAATTGCCAGATCTCGAGAAAAAAAGGAAGGCTGAAGAATTACGTAAGATGCATCTGCTTTGCAATTATCTACATAAAGCCCCTCTTACTCTCACAAAATTTTGCCCTTCAGTGCCGGCGATCTTAAAGAAAAAGAAATGGAATATCAACGGAGCAATCAGGACATTTGACACAGATTCAGTCTACTATGTAGATCCAGCAAATAACGAGGAAAATCAGAGATTCCTAGCTAGCATCAAGAATCGCCATTGTTAGTGCTCATAGGTACTGTACACGAGCATCTGGTAAGACAACGCAGCTGTTCCGGCTCATGTCACAACTGGCTGGCTGAGGTATTTTTGGGGATATACACTCACTGGACAAAAGTCTACGTAATTTTTGCCGATCAATTAGTAAAACATATGAAAAAGCTATTTTTT